AATTGGTCTGGGACAGCAGTCATTTGGGAAAATATCTTTCTTCTGGAGGTTATGTCTTTCTGTCCTTTGGCCTAATTATACATGAGTCACTTTAACAGTAAGAGATCACCTGACTGTCAAATGCAATTTCCTTGACTGCTCTTCTAAACAACCTCCTTTCTGCCTCACCCACCCTTCCTTTCTTTGCAAAGGGAAGCCTTCCTCCAGAACAGACTGCTGCAATGATCTAGAAGGTGACACTTTCAAGGAAATTTAGAAATCCAGCACTGTTCATCATTTCCCCCACTCCTAACCCAGCCCTCTTGAAACTCTCCCAGTTCCTGTCATTACCATCAGAAGGATCAGGAGTGATTCTTGGGGTTCTTAAAATTTTGGGGGGAAAGTTGTTAAGCATTTACAAAGCCCCCGGGTCGTCAGTCAGTCACACAGTACTATGTGTATTACTTCCCGGGGCTGCCAAGGTATTCAGGTGTTTGTAGGTACAGACAGGGAAACAGAAGCAAAAGAAAGTTCAACGTTTAGAACACAGTCCCAGAGAAACTCGGAGCGAGATTAATCCCTGTATTCTTCAGCTGTGGTTCTCAATCAGGACAGTTTAGCTCCCCAGGAAACATTCTGCCATGTTTGGAGATGTTTTAGAGGGTCATAACAGTTGGGGGAGTCACCAGCATTTCGTGGTTAGCGGCTAAACCTCCTACAATGACACAGGACAGCTGGCACTAGAACTGCCCCTTTCAAAACATCAATACCACAAAGGCTGGAAAACTCTGGTGCCCCGGCATCTCCCGCATGACTTTCTTTGGCCCCTCATCAATGGTTTAATATGGCTTCCTCTACAATGTGATCCTTGTCCAGCATTTCCATAGAAACATGCCAGTCAAGTGCTCTCTCTTTTAAAATAGGAGATATATGTGAGCCAATGAGGGAGGCTAGCAAAGCCTGGCTTCATGCTCATGAGAAAACCTAGCAAAGGCCAGTTCCTCTTGAGAGCACCCTCCAGACCCCTGCTGAGGTCTGCATCCGGCCTCTCACCTGGACTCCCGCCTGGCTGGCATGCTTAGCAGCTGCCTCTCCCTCCCTGTTTTGCTTATCTCCAATCGTGCACCTCACTTGAGAGCAGTAATGATGTACGTTTATGGGAATCTCCAGAGATCTGTAGCCCTTAATTGTCTATTTTGTTCAGTAAATTGTACTCATTACTGAGCCACATGAGGTACCTAAGTACATCAGCCTTTCTGGGTGCCCTCTGTTGGAGCCTGGGTAATGGAACATTATCTAGCAAGGTCTCTGCAGTATTGAATCCAGCTGCTTAAAACAATCCTCTACCTGGTTTTTCAGCTGATACTTCTTTTTTTTTGTAACTTCCAGTCCCTCTTTATTATCCATCCTTAGGTCAGCTTAGATTAGCATTAATCATAATTTTCTTTTCAATTAGTTTGGTTTGAGTTTAAGCTCTAGAAGTTGGAGAGCTCAGTGTGACAGTGGTATCTTTTCAACCCTTCCTTCCTGGATTTCCACCTGGGCTCTGAAAAGGCACACTCAACAGTGGAAGCTTCTGATGGTCTTGAAAATCTTCAGCGTAAACAATTACTCAGAGTCAGCTTTGGGTATGATGTGGCCACATGCACCCGGGGCTACAAGCAGATGGAGAATGAATGGGCATGTGGCTTCCGGTGACACTGGATGAAATAAAGCGGAACAGACTGAACCATGTGCTTTGTTAGTGCTAATATGCTCCAGACCAGGAAGCTATTTTCTCAGTGGAGGAAAAAAAAAATGATCAGCAAAGGAAAAGTTAAGCAGAGTGATCCATGGAGAAAGAGGAGAGTGGGCAAGAGAAATCTGAGAGAGCAGAGCTAACAATATGATATAGCTTCAAGGATAGTACCCCACAGGGAGGCCCAGTAACCCTTCCCATAGAAATCACCTCCCATATGAACTCACTAAAAATTCCTGTGCTGAGACATTTCCACGCACAGAATCCATAGCATCACCTGGAACACAGTTTTCTCTTTATAACTGCTGATTTGCATGGTGTCTGTGAGTCAAATCAATAAAGCCTTTCATAGGCAGGGCGTCCCACTTTGCTGACTCCAGAAGCCTGGTGAGACAAGAGCCCCTGTGACTTGGCAAAGCCAGAGAAACAATGGCAAGGAGAGTCGCTGTTGCCTTACCCTGGAGTAGAGGGTGTGGAAGCCTCCAAACGCGCTTACATCCTCGCGACCCATCGGCTCTGCTGTTCGCCACTCGCTCACTTCTGCATGTTGGACCACGACCAGTGGATCACCAACTGCCAAGTAAAAAAAATGCATGACTGCATCAGTCCAAGTGCCACAGGAAAGCAGGGAGCTGAAAATCCAAACCTTGGTTCTTGTGTTTCAACAAAAGAAAATTTGAAGTCAAATACCAAAAGTCATGCAAGAGAATTTATAATAGGTGAAAGTAAAGTAAAAGCAAAGTGAGGCTTAGGCAGAAAGCACTCTCAAGAGAGAGAGAGTGGGCCGTCTCTGAGCAGAGAACAACAATGCAGACAACGTTACCTCCAAATTTATTACTGTTTGCTGTTTGCCAGGAGATTGGGGACCATCTTCTGTGGACCCTATCAAGAATTAGTCCCATTAATCCTTTTATTTTGAGGTATTTTCCCATTAGCTCCTTTGCTCCTGTTTATTTTCTACAATTAACTACCACTGTTTGCTTTCTCCTCTACTTTGGAAGTAGTTTAAAGAAGACCCTAAAGTAATGTAAAGAACACTTGTGACCATGCCGTGCATTTCACTGCTCATTGCTAGCTGCTACCTAACACAAGGACCCACCACTTCAAGTCTCAAGCCACTGTCTGAGTGAGTTTGTTAGAGTAGGCCAAGTGCTTAACACACAGACCCAAACCTCTATTAATGGTTTGGGCACAATCAAAGTTCAGTTTTGGTTCCTGTATGCATACAGGATGGGTGGAGGTCAATTAGTGGGGTGGCATGATACAGTGATCCAGGTACACAGGCTGAAGCAGGTCTGCATCCTTAAAACATAAGTTCCGAGAGGTTCTTTCCATTCTAGCCAGCTAGGAATGGGAAAAGGAATTTGCATCTGTGTGTGGTCTCCCCTTCCTGCTTAAAGTAGTTTACAGCACTTTTTTCCCACTTCCACACACATTCTATTGGTTGGTTGAAACACAATCACACAGCCACACCTAATCCCATGGGTTGAGCAACTAGCAATCTTTACCATACAAAGCTGATTCCAGCCCAGTCAAGAAGACAACTTTAGGGTTAGAGCAGGGAGTTCTGGGTAAGACATGAGCACACTAACTTTGACTTAAGTTCCTTAACTCTAGGTCTCAGTTTCCTCATGTGTAAAATACCCTGCCTCCCTCACAGGGTCAATGGAAGATTCAAAATGAAATCAAGCAGCTCTTCTCAGACTTTCATGTGTGTGCAAACAGTCTAGGCATTTTGATAAAATACAGATTCTGATTTGGTGATGTCAATTTCATGGGTGAGGCCTGATCTACTGCATTTCTAATAAGTTCCCAAATGATGTCAACACTGCCGTCCTCTGTCTACACTTTGAATAGAAAAGAGATGCAGGATTAGAGAATATTTTCATAAATTTTATACACAAAGTGACTTGCAGATATAAAGAATTCTTGCAGTGACAATCACCTGAATAGATTGTAAATGAGTTCCTGGCTTAGCCAGCATTTTAAAGATGCATTCAGACTAGAATTTCATAGAGTCATAAAATTTTCAAACAGGAAAAAAATTTAAGTAGTCACTGCTCTCTTTCCTTTTGGTCAGACAAGGAAACTCAGAGAAGTCAGTGTTGGCCCCTGCTCCAATTTCAAAATCATTTAGCAGTGTGCCAGGACTAGAATACAGAAATTGGTCTTTTCTCTTTATTACATGAACTTAATCAATAACCTCCTAAAGAATACATAATGTTCAATTATCCAGCTAAAGAAAGAACAAATATTACTCTGGCCTATGCTCCAAAAAAAAAATCCCAGAAGGTGGCATTCACCTGCATGGATCACCACAGGTCTCAGTCCCGGCAAAGTGTCACAGGGCACAAATCAAGAGATTTTCAAGAAAACATCCTTTGCGATGCAATGATCCTCTGCCAAAATTAATTTCTCATGTATCCAAAATGGGGGTGGAACACAAAATAACTTCTGCATTCCTTCTGGAAAAACACATTTTTTTTAACTTTCAAAATATACAACTCTGAGTCAGTTCTAGTTGGTGACAGTTAGTAAAAAGAGAGAATTAGGGATTGCAAATAGTAAAGGGAAATAAAATAATGGGCTAAAGAGGATCACTGGTTTCCATGTTACACCATAGGTACAAATAAAGGAATGAAAGGAATTTTTGTTTACTCCTTGCCATGTAAATTATTCTGCATCTTTAAGATCTTGGTGGGTCCTAGGAACTTATAATAGAACATGAGATGTAGTACCTCACTAGTGAGAGTCAAAATTCCAAGTCATAAATCAGAAAGGCAATGAATATGTGGAAATAAAATTAACTGTGGGAGATGGGAGCTCCTTGGTATGCACATCATCACCAATAAAACAAGTGAACTTGAAAGTGTTTGAGGGAAATTAGGAGAGTACCTATTAAGCAAGGAATGACGAATGAAAATGGAAATCAATACTTGGATATCCATTATTAACTTCAAATGGGGTAAAATGCTATTCTTAGCATCTTCTTATGGTGACCAATTTCAAACATTTTAATGAAGGTAAAATGTTCCTAAAATCTTCCACATGTTTATTCCTAGACTCCACCCCAACACTATTTCGCCATAACGTCCTTGTTCCACAACTGAGAGGTCTTCCATCTTGGCAATTTCCAGAGTCTACTCTAGACTCTAGACTTCTTACCTTATTTTTGTGTGGTAGACCCTTTTGCTAGACTGTTGAAGCCCAAGGACTCCCTTCTCAGAATCACTGTTAGACTGCAGGTAAGATAAAGTGCACAAAATATTTACTAATTAAGTGAATTCTATGTAAATGCTCTCCTGTCCACACAGATTTGGGGAGTAAATGGACCCAATTTAAGAATATTTGATTGGGGGATGACTATTCTAGAATGATGGAAGTTTTTTTCTTACAGGAAAGAATATGCAGAAAAGTTTTAAAACTCATTGATACACAGCTAAATACTGCTCAGGGTCAGTAAGTGAAGAAAAGAAAGAGTTGCAAAGAAAAGCCTGACCTTCGATTTCTGCCTATACTAAAGCTATTCATGCTGGGGCTTTAAAATCCTGTATCAAGAAATTCTTCAAAGGACTTTCTTGACCCATTCCTGTAACACAGCATTTTCTGTGTCCTGATATTACAGGACACAGGTGAAGGAAGGTGACATTGGAGAAGATAAGACTGTAGTGAGTCCTGTATTTGGGTCCTAATCCCCCCAACCGATTCTTTGCTACAAACCAACTTCTGAGGTCAACTCATGCACCTCTGAGTTGAAACTCCCCGTCTAAAAAAAAATGAGCAGGTTAAGTTAGACCATCTTCAACATTTTCTCCAACTCTGACCTGTCAAGATTCTGACACTGCACCACCATTTCTCTGGGAAGAAACAATTAATAAGATTTCTTTTTACCCTAGGTCCAAATTAGGAATAAAGCTTCTCTATAAGAAATTTCCAGAGGATTCAGAAATGTCTTCTGAGAATCACCTAACCATAACTTTAAACCTAGAAGGGACAAGGTAGCAGGTGACTGGGGTAAGGGCACTCAGAGGCAACATGGTGTAGCTCAGGCAGGGTCAGAGCTGAGGTCCTTGGTCGCACTGTGCCCTCTTTATCACTGGGAAAAACACCTACCTCCTTCAAATATCATGTCTAAAAAATCCATCTCAAAGAACAAGCATAATTATTTCAAAATGGGGAAGGAAGATACATATGTGAACCCTCACTAATAAGGTTAATAAAACCAAAGTTCAAGTTTTGGGTGGTTAATACCATCTTGAAAGATCAGCTTTAGTTAAGAAAAATCTAAAAGAAACTTGTTAGAAATTTTCAAGTTTAAAAGAAACTTGAAATAACTTTGACCTAGCTTCTGTGGCTAGCCCTGAAGTCTAGTAATTACTCCACAGCAGTTTTAATAATACATTCAGTGCTTTCTTCAGAATATGTAATTATTGGCTTGTTGGTCAAGTTTAGAAATCATATGACTATTTCCATAGTCCCATCCATTGTAGAGATTAACTTTACATGAAATAAATACAGATAATGAAACTGTTGGAAATTTTGATCAAATCATTACCTAAATATGTTTCATTAACCAACAATACACATGCAGAATGCTTTTAAACTTATGCTTTGATGCTTAATTGTCTATTTACCCTCTGCCTTCTGCCCTCAGAAACACATGGAAAGTAATCACAACAAGGCACGTTACTCTCTATCTCATATAATGAGCTATGGCTTTCAGAACCATTTTCTTTGAGACAGGCATGGTGGCACACACCTTCCAGCACTGAAGAGGCTGAGGCAGGAGGTTCCCAAGTTGGAGGCTAGCCTCAGCAATGTAACAAGACTTTGCTTCAAAATAAAAAATAAAAAGGACTAGGGATGTAGATGATTGAACAGTGCCCTGGTTCAATCCCCAGCACACAGGCACAACTATTTTCTTTGAGATTCTCTTTGAAAGCTTGCAGAGTCTTTCAAAATCCAGATTAGAGACTCCATCCACACTGCTGGTTTGACCACTCCATAGCCCAGCTTCTCCAGGAATTCCCAGAGGCAGCAGTGCCATCTACTGGTAGGGAGGGTACAACTTGTTTTCTGAAGCCTGTGCTTAACATGAAGGGAGGACGGAAAGAACAGCAGTAGAGATTTGTCTTTGTGAGGCTTTTTTTTTCTAGAGCACATTGCAAGAAAAACTGATGCTTACAGCCCGAGGGAGACACCTAACCTCCACAGGACCCTCCGTAATATGAACCACAGGTCCTCTGGAAGCCATATGAAGCCCAGCCAGGATAACTAATACCGAGGCAGCTCTGTCTGGAAATGCCCTTTCAAGGCTCCAAAGGCAAGCGGCAGAGCCTCACTGAACTCAACATTTCCAGTCTCTCTTTCCCCCAGTGCTTCCGTATCAGATGATCTCACCCCAGTGCCCCCACCTGTGGCCGTTTTTTTCCAGCTTAATCTAACAGCCTGCACCCTAAGGACGGCGCTCAGAGCTTTTCAACATGAAGGCTCTTATATTTACACAATGTGACACAGATCCTCCTCAAAGGACATTAGTGCCTAGGCATGCAGGTGGGACTTTAATCTCTCTCATTAGCTCTTCATCCTCCCTGTCCCTGACCCAGAGCGCAGAAAGGAAATAAATTTATTGTTCCCTTGAAAGTAACACTAGTGGACTTTTATTGAATCAGAGAATAAAACCTTGTTCCTATAGGTCACTGAGGTATATTGCTTCCCTTGAGTTGAACTAAACCTGCCAATCTTCCTGTTGCCCTAGCATAACCTAATGAGTGTTTTTCAACCGTTGGAGACCCTGCCACTGTTTAAACAAACATCGTAAGCCCTTTGTGTAGTTTATATACAAAAAAAAATATACATTTTTCTCTAAAAACAAAAGTGCATGGCTTTCTTAAACTATGCCACCTACTTCACCCTTTAAATTCTCTTCCCTACATACCATCTTAAAAAAAAAGAAAAAGAAAAAGACTGACAAAGTTCTTAAATACTTCCACCAATCTGCTTTGTGTTCCAATCCATCAGGTGACAATCTGTATTTCACTTTACAAGGGTCATTTGTGAAGTACCATTGAGCTTCACAGCAATTTCTGTTCTTTCACATTCCTTCATCTCAGAAAACCACCAAAATATGACTTGCTGTAGTTGATAAACCTGAAGCTGATATCCCTAACAAATTGAAGTGTCACTTCTTCAAAAAAAGATTTTTTAACTCACTTAGTAAATTGAATTTTCAGCAAAGGAAGACATTTCACAAGTATGGGGTGTGTCTTAGATGTCTGAATATCACATTGTTTCCTAAAGAAACACAACTCTGTAGGAAGGATAGAGTACCAAAGGGCTTTGAAGTGGTATCAGGATGACTCTGAGAAGTCTGGTGAAGATTCTTGTTCCATCTCATACCAGAGTAAGTCCTGATAGTTGAACCATTTCTTACTGGGTAATTGCCAGGTATATCCAACCAAATACTTAACCAGTAAAACATGGAAGGGACTTTGTATGTTTCACTATAAGATATACCATATGCCCTTACTATTGCCAGTCTGGGGAGATGGAGTAGAATCCGGGGATACTTTGCAGAGTTTAACCAGCTCCTAAACTCCTGGACACACCCTCACCCTTTTAAAGTGTGATTTAAAGTATGACTTAAGGGCTGGAGTTGGGGCTCAGTGGTTGAGTTCTTGGCTAGCATACGTGAGACACTGGGTTTCATCCTCAGCACCACATAAAAATGAAATAAAGATATTGTGTATTCACCTACATCTAAAACGTAAATATATTAAAATTTTAAAAAGTATGACTTAAGGGAGATATTCCCCCCTCCCCCACCACAACTCTTCTGGCAGCCAAATGGTTTAAACATACACTTTTCAAAGAATTAACGAGGTCTGATTAGGTTCAATTTAGACCTTCCCTTCCCTCTCCCCATAGCCCATTAACATGCTGAAAATAAGTAGTCACTTGGGCAGCACTAGAAATTTACAGAAAATTACGCCCCCCCCCTCACACACCCCCTTCTTATATTCTTAAAGAAGAATCTCAGTGTGATGGTCTGGTCTGCAGTTCACTGCAGGCATTTCCCTCCTCACCATTTACCAGCCATCAGTTACGCTCTATCTGTAATTCTTTTTTTGTAGCCTCTCCTTGAGACCGGCTCCATCAGTGCCCAACTGCTTTTAATTTATTATTTTTTTCTTTCTTTCTTTCTTTTCTTTTTTCTTTTTCTCGTTTCTTTTTAGGCTCTTAACAAATGTCTGGATTTCTTCAGCAGGCTCAAGGCGATCATTTCGGTGAAACTCTGGGCTGAGAGCTGGCGTTCCAGGTCCAGCGGGCAGCCTTCTCGGAGCAGCACCCCGGGTTCCGTGCACCCACGATGCCCCCACCCGTGCCAAGACTGGCGGCTCTCCTTCGCACAGCTGCGCTAGGAATTCGGCTTCGCTCGCAGCCCTGCCACCGGATTAGTTCGAGTCCCAGGGGCTCGGCCAAAGTGACAGTACATTTTTTTTTCCCTACTGTTCTCCCATGTGACAGGTCCCACGGCACGAAAGCCACCTTCTGTTTAGCCCAAGTCCGGCGCCCGTGACGCCCCCGCCCCGCCACCCGCACCCTTTACCTGGGGAGGGGACCGATGCCAGCATCCCTCCGGGCGGGAAACAAAGGCGCAGGCGAGAATGCCAGGTGGGCAACCCCCTCGGGCAGAACCCGCAGCGCCGTGGGGAGGATGGGGAGGTGCATCAAAGGGTAGGAAAAGGGAAACCGAGGCAACGACCGAAGCGGCTGAGCTGGGACTGCATCCTCCCCACAGCCGGGATCCTGGGGCAGGCGGACCCCAGACCTCCCCTGCCCCGCCCAGCTCTGCCCACCCCCGGTTTGCGGGAGTGGGCATGGGAGAGACTGGGGGACTGGCCGCTGGCTCTGCTTACCTCCGGAGAAGCGCTCCGGCTCCCTCCGACGGCTCGGGAGAAAGCCCCGCCGCTCGCGCACGCGCACTCGCGCACTCGCGCCTTCGCCCCTCTGGCCCCCGCGCGCTCCCCTCCGACCGGGCTCTAGCCCGCCCCGGCCCTGTCCGTCAGCGTCCGCGAGAGCCAATCCGGTCGCCTGGAAGGCCCAGCGCCGGTCACGTGTCCAAACCAGCCAATCACCAAATTGCCCTCGGCAGCGCCCGCTCCGATGTCCCTCGGGGTTCGGTTGCTACCGCGCTGAGCCGGTGCGAGGCTGGCACAAAGGGCTGAGTCTCTGTTTTCCAGGCTGAGTGGTGCTCGCTTGATCCATTACTGAGTCAGGTGATTTCTCAAATTCTAATTTAAGTAAGAATCACCCTAAGAATCTTGTTAAAATGTGGATTCTGATCCCAAAAGTCTGGGGTGGGGACTCTTTGAGAGTCTGCCTTTTTAACAAGTCTCCAGGTGGTGATGACGCTGCTCCTGGTCCGAGGACCACAATTTTAGGATCATCCGTCAGAAAATGATGGTGATAGCCCCTCCACATGCTATTTGAAAGTTTCATGATCTTTTTGGTCCTTCCTCCAGTGGAAAAGTATTCCAGTGACTGACAAAAACATGGGATGTCCTGACGACATCTATAGTTTGGTCATGGCTGAGGGAAGGTGTGTTTAATTTCCACATGACCCACCCATAGGCTGTGGAGGAGCAACTTGTGCCAACTTAATGATTGGAGTGTGGAAACCACAAGCAGAGACAGAATGCTCATCTAAAGGCCACTAGGTCTTCGCTCCAATGATCAGCAATGGGTGTCTGTGAGAGACTCTGGGACAGAGAGCAGAGAAGCCAATGCAAGTGGACCCTGCTTCCTAGAAACATACAGTCTGTCATAGAACTACATAGGCAAGCTCAAAGATGACTACAGGAGAAACATGGAAGCAGCTAAGAGGCACCTTGGACAATTCAAGCATAAACAGAGGGGTTATAAGATAGCCTACTTGGGTATCTTAAAAATTGTCCACTCTTCCGTCCCTAATTTCAAGTCCGGAAGCCCAGTGCCTCTGACCATCTCTCAAACTTGACCTAAACCTCAGTGTTTTCAGACTAACCAGCTAGATCCATTTGGTATGGAGCATAACCAAGCTCTTATTACCTAACAGTGTCCCAGCAAGGTTCAAGAGTTTTAAGTGCTAAATTCTTCAATACCTTCCTCCACCAGCTCATCAGCTCAGGAGTATAACACTGCTTCAAGAAGTTACAGCTCACTGTTCATCAAGGTGATCAAACTACTACTTAGAGAAAATTTCACTCTTGTCAGTGTCTGGTAATTCTGGCTTCTCATCCTGAAGTGAAGCCCACTTAGTTATGTCAGACCTGGTTCATCACATTGTCCCCATCAGAGATGGCATAACACCAAATCTGGAGTTTCAGAGAGTACGGTTGAACCTAGCATAACAATGGTTCTGGCATCGCCAGAATAAAGGAATGCTTAAGCTAGAACAATCGGTTTGAAAACCTCAAAGAAAGATTCTTTTGCATCATTGAATTAGTGATTCTCAAGCCTGACTGCGTGCTATTTAGGGTAATAAATTATGGGGCCCTATGCCTAGGAGTTCTGATTGAGAGGAGGAATGAGATGAGGAAGGATAGCTCTAAGTTCAACAAGTATCACAGGTGATTTGATATCCTTGATTGACACCACCTGCATAAGCTGCTAGATTGATGGGCTCATTCTTTAACAAGGAAAAAAAAATCAAATCTGCAACACAAATCACTAAAGACATATGCATGCTGTAAACAGAGGAGCATTTCCATAATTTTGAAAATAGATATTTAAAAGGCCAGAAATAATTCATAGGTAATAAATACTCCAAGGACTATTCAGTGGAACAAATTGAAAAGCTAGGTCCACAATTAGGTTTAATTCTAGTGGACTGACAAAATATTTCAGAAAAAATCTATTGCTTCACTTCTTAAGTGCTCTTCTTAACTAAAACCAATTTCCATTTGAGCATTATTAAGAGTTATTCTCTGAGGCTTTTCCCAAAATGTATGACAGAATCGCCTGGGGTACCTGTTAAAATGCAGATTCCCAGGGCCCAATCCAAAGCTTTCTCCTAGTTGTCCTTATGTAAAGATTCTGAAGCCAGTACTGGTTAAATGTGAACCCAAGTGTACCTCCTGATATAGAACATCTACATACAAGCAAACCCTCAAATAAAACAGCTGTGCTATTAGTTTAGCTTGTCATGCTAGCTAAATAAAGGAATGAATCTATTTTAGAGGATTCCAAGAGATTCTCAGTTCTCTACAGGAGTTTTACCAAATTCTGTTACTTTGTCAAACAAGGTGATCAGTAACTAGATCTTGGAATTCAGTTGCTGCACTGTTTTTCCATGGAGAAATATACGCTGTAGTGGGGTCTGACCTAGTTTTTAACTGAATTACTGAGGTCCCCTCAGAACACTATACCAACAACAGTCATCTTGCTTAAGAGTGATTTTATTTGCAATGCCAGAAATATAGAAGCCCTATGTGTGAGCCTGCAAACTAGCTTCCCTCCTCTGACACTTTTAAAAATATATTTCACAGCAACCAAATGAGGGAGAAATGTTCTCACCTTGTAAACCTGTAGCATTATCTATTGGGGAAAATAAGGACAGTTTTTACTTATACTTAACTAGCATGAGTAATGTAAATTTTTAAGTAGAAAAAAGCATTTATTTTTTTTTTCTCCTTGTGGGTGTCATCATTGCAGAAAGAGGCAACAGGAAGCAAAGAGGTTCTTGAGTGAGGATGTGAATTTGAAAAAAAAAGAACATCCAGGCTGTCTGTCATTCCTTTGGTTTCTTTATATACATAACCTGACTATCCTGTTTCAGGAAATAGATATGTTAGTATGTGATATGAGTTAGCTCGAACAAGTTTCCCTCTCCCAGAAATTGCTCAGCAAGAGATTTATATTTGAAAAGAAAAGAAAGAGATAAGATATAAACCACCCTACCAATTTGCCAACTCCCAGAAATCCACCATTGCTCCATTGTAATCAGAACCCCCAAAGACTGCTTTATAATCACTAATTACATTTTTATCTCTCTAACAATAAATAGCTTCTCTAAACTTAATTGATTTCATTCATGAAGATCCACAAATTACCCAAGATTCTATGAGTCATATAAATCCATCTAGGAGAACATTGTATATCTATGTACTATGTTTTAATAACTGGATATTTTCTTTCCATTTAGCTTTAACCTACCATAAGACATTTTTGTAGAAAAGTTGGTTTTATTTATATTCTTTATAGAAAATATAGAGATATTTTCTATGGTCCAAAAAATAAAAGAATATACTACTCTTTTGATATTTTATAAAATAGTTTAGCTTTTAAAAGCATGTAAATAATATGATATACACCTGTATACCCACCCCAACTTAAAAAAACAAAACATTATAAATACAGATGAAACCCCCTCCCAGAAAGTTGATCTGTTAACTGGAGATTTCATGCTTAGCAAACTTAGCCATGAAAGAAAATTGAACTGTATGAAGGTAATAGAAAACACAGTATAAATGGGCAAAATTCTCACTGAATAACTTGTTTGGAAGTTCCAAATTGATATAGGAAAACAAACAAGAGCTGAAATTTCATGTGATCCAACATCTGTGTTATACAATTACAGATTTGGACCTGGAAAGCAGGTCACTTTTAGAAAACAACAGAGGTCATTTGGAATAGAGGTAAGGTAAGGAGTCAGGTCTCCTTCATTGAATAAATCTGCACTACATGAGTCCTCTCTTTTAAGAGAAGTAAGGTATAAGAATCCAAAATAAAAAGTGGTACGTTCCAAGTGGGGCACACAGCACTGTCAGGAAGCATGTAGAAAGACCACCAGTTCTCATTCATGAAATTAGGGCTGGCTTTCTGTAAGAAGTGATATCCAAATTCTCAAGAACTTGAAAAGTTACCCAGCTGTTATGGACTGAATGTTTGTGTCCCCCAAAATGTATACATTGAACCTCCACCCCTTTCCCAGTGTGATGGGATTGGAAGGTAGAATCTTTGGGAGATAATTCAGATTAGATGAGGTTATAAGGTTGGATGAGATTGGAGCCCTTAATAAAGTCACCAGAGACTTTCTTCCACTCTCCGATCTCTGACACATGATGACATAAGGAATAGGCAGTCTGCAACCCAAAGAGGCCCACCAGAACCTGACCATGCTAGCACCCTGACCCCAGCGTTTAGACTTGTGAGAAATTAATTCCTGTTGTTTATAAACTATCCAGTCTATGGTACTTTGTCATAGCAACCCAAATGGACTAGGCCACCAGAAAATGGCAAAAGGAAGGATGTCATAGGATGAGGGAATAGCCCATAGAAAAGAACAAAGAAGACAAAGCTTAGCACAAGAGCATAGAACATTGGGGAAGGAAAGCTAGTTTAATTTGACTGGATATGGGAGGAGAAGAAAGAAAAATTAATACCTGAAGGTGGAGCAAAAACCAGAATTCAAGGATGGCAAATGCAGGATCTGTTATTCCTCCCTCTTCTTGGACATATGGCAGAATTAGTCAACCATGGGATTGAATTTTACTACAGTGATTATGAGAAGAACCTAGGGCCATATGAACTAGGTTAAACTCCCAGCTTCTCCTTTTACCATCTGTGCAAAACTGGACAGTTTGGCCTTTGGAAGATATTGGATAAGTGGTTTGCACAATTTTTCTGTCTCTAAAATGGAAATAATGGCAATGCAATGTCTCTTACAGTTGTGAATGAGTTATAAATAAGTTAAAGTGCTATAGCAGTGTTAAAACAAATAATAGCTATTATCAGTATTCTTAGAAACTAGATGTAGCCTCAAACTCCTCAACCCAGGATTATTGGCATCCCACTTCAACCAATCAAAATTGGTCCCCAGGGAACCTCCCTGTCATTTCTGGTGTCTGAT